GCAAGGGTCATGCAATGGCATTAAGGAGCTGAGCGGCTCCTCATAGACAGGGGGCTGATGAGAGACAGGTGTTGGTGATATGTTATGGCAACTAATAAGGGTAACTATGGTGACAAACAAGGTACGATGCAAAACAGGAATCAAACACAGGAAGTGAACACAGAAACAAAGGGGAACTAAGAATATACTTCAACGTAAAAGTCCTACAAAATACAAGACAGTACAGGGATCGTGACAATTAGGCTACATCTTGTAAAAATGTTGAACATCTTGAACAAAGTTCATCTATAACTCATCTATAATGCTACAGCATTTCATACTGCATGTACATAATGCATGAAATCGTGATTTAAAAAATGTTTTTTTGTGTGTGTAAATGAACTATAATAATCTGATATGAATTGCAATCTTGGATCTATTAATTAGCAGAAGTTAATACTCCACCAACTGCATGTGATGTTATAAACAATATATTGTCGAACCAATGTGGTTCAAATAGAGGTTCGCCATGTTGGTTTTTGGAAAGAGTCGCAACTAGCTTGTCAATTTGTCCAACAATTCATTGCACTATGGTAGTAAACCTGTGATTTACGTTGTTGTACAGGAAATGCACCCCAGATTAGTGATCAACTAATATGGATTTTCCTTTGGCTGATTCTTAAACTATCACCGGCAAATGTAAATATGGGTTACTAAACCAACACTGAACCCTAAAAAGCTGCATTATTTCAAGGCCACCACAGGAAGTTAGAATTTAAATGGATAACAGAGTAAATTCTGGTCACTTAGTTTGTGTGTCTTGAATAGAAAAAATAAATATCCTATGTTTCAAAACCTTCAGCAATGATGCATTACATTGATCAAAAGTCATTTCAAATACATGTGCCATACCTCTTCAACCCTGTTACATTCAAAATGTTTTAAGGTCACCATGCAGATTTGCTGCTATGTAAAAAATAAAATGAATTAAAACTTAAAGTTCGGGACAGTTAATATTTGCAGAGGTTGTAGTCATGTAGCATGGGCACATCTGTGTAGAACTGTGAATGTAGTGTTACACGCTTGTCAAACTAAGTACAGTGTGTTGAAGCCAAACAGCAGTCGTTCTGCTGGCAGGAATATATGTGCCCCATGCTGGCTTCTTTTCAAAGGCATGGAGAGATAAGATTGTGCATGTTTTCAACTGGCTTCCCTAATGGAAAAAATGCCTTTCTCGGCTCTTTCTCTGGTATTTTGACATTTTGAGCTTAGCTGAAAATGAAAAGTGTGTTAGAAATAGTTTAAATTTATGTTCTAGCCTGGGTAGCATTAGGCCAGAACTAACCTTTTGCACTTTTGACTGGATCTGATATGCAATATGTAAACGCACTAGTAGTTGTTTTCTCTTTTGTATATAAAATAAGGCCAGTAAGGGTCACCTCAGCAACATCACCTCAGGGTTCATTTCACGGCCCAGAATCTGGTTTCAAGGGGAAGGAGAGGTTAGCGTTTTTATTTGTTTATTTTGATTTATTATAGTTGATATTGAAGGTACATCTGTGTCCATCATGACACCTGCAGTGTTTACTGAGCTTTGATGACTGATTATTCCAAAATAACTATAAAAAACAGCTGAAATTAACAAATAAATATAGCCTAGCCTAAATGAAATATGAAATGTGTTACTGCGTTCTTGTAGTGATTATTGTGGAACAAATGTAACAATGATGAGAGAACTTCATGAGAAAAATAGTTCATCTTAATTAGAACAACAATTATAATGCAAAAATACCACAAAAAAATCACAATATTATGTATGGTAGATGGTGAAAATGTAGGGTATTTGCCTCTGTCACAACTTTTTTTGGAGAGAGTAGCAGCCATCAAAATCAAAAAAGTTGTTTAGAAATCTTTTCTTTGTACTTTTGTCAGTCAAATAAAGTTGAAAGACAATTAACAAATCACAGATTCTTGATTTCAGATTTTGGTTTGGATTGTTTTGGTAATGTTTATTTAACCTGAAAAATGTTAAGTGTAACTGGAACATGAATTTACATAAAAAAACAGTGAGGATCCCTTTCAGGGTTTCCTCATTTCATGGATAATGCAAATTCATTTTCCACAGCCATTGCTTTAGCTTGTGCTGTAGAAACCTCATCTTTTTCCAGGATTCTTTGATAACCAGAAAGAGTATCAGAAAAGTATCAATTTCTAAAAAAAGTCATGTACCAGAAACCCGTTCAAAAAGCCCATTGATTTCAGGACGATGGAACTGGAAGTGCTAAAATGTTAATGATGATTTTGCCTTGACTTTAAAATCACAATGAAACGCAAGTTGTGACAGACCTTTTCTTCCATATTGTTACGTACATCTGAGTGAAACAAATTATCGTAAAAGAAATCAAATGTGGGACTTAGATTTATGCATCGGCTGGTGATTGTATGGATGCAAATCAGCTGAATACAGGTTTGCAAGGGCCGGGGCTTTAGCCGACCTAATGGTTGGAGAAGCCCTGCATACACCCCTAGATAGAAGTCTGTCGTTTCACCGGATGATTGAGTTATGAGTAATTAAATAGGATGAATTTTTCATGTTTGTGCTTGATATTGCCATGGTAGCATAACTTTGTTTGCCCAAGTGATGATAAACAGGAAACTTGCCTCCTAACACATTGAGAATCTTCCTGTTTGAGAAGATAGTCTTCACACTTGTGTGTGTTTGAGCCGTTGTTACTGTGGAAGCAGCAGCACATTGCAAACACAAGGCACAGGTGTTTCAAGGTGGCATGTGGACAAGCCATTAGTACCACGACAAACCATGGCAACCTAAATAACACTTGAAGTGGAACTGCACCCTGTAAGAACATTAAATAACACCTGTACTGTCCTTGATACAAGTATTATGGAAATATGGGTATTAGTTGTGTTTGATAAGGCATACGTTTTTAGAAGAAATGACCAGAGCCATATCAAGCGACCAGAAGTGATGCAGTGGTTTTGGATGCAGTTTTGTATTATTGTAAAAAAAAAAAAAAAAAAAAACTTTCAAGACAAGTAAAAGCTTTTTTTTTTTAAACACAAGGGGGTATTACTGATGTATTTTATGTCATTAAAACAAAATGTGAAAATATCTTGAGCTTGTGTTAACCACAGACCTTATTTCAGACATTTAAAACCCATTCAAAAATACCCATTGACTTCAGGACGATGTTTTGTAGGTCTTTACCTGGAAATGAGTTAGCATCATGTTAGCACTTCCGAACTGGAAGTAAATGCTTACTCATTTCCAGGTTAAGGCCTACAAACACATGTCATCCCTTCAGTGCTCTATGTAATGTACTGATTTGACAGCAAGTAACCGCCTAGCAACCACTCAGAACACCTTAACAACTCAGCAGCCCAGAAATTCCTAACATTGTGTCAGTGAGTGTCGCACCACTCACATTTCCTACATTTCTAGCCACCAAAATTAAGTCTGGTTACTTTTTCTTTTCTTTTTAAAATTATTTTAATGTTTTGTTAGATTTAAAATTTTGAGCATGTTGAAATCTTAAGGTCAATAATTTTTTGTCAAACTGTATACTTGCTTTTCTTTTATCGTTCTTTAAAAACAAACCATAGTCATAGATTATATGCTACAATCTGAGTTCTTGAGGAAACAAACCTTTCTTAGTAGTAGTTGCTGGCAGTGTTTTTTTGGATATTTTGTTGCATGGCAGGTAGCAGGATCAGCAAACGCGCGTATCAAGTGTTTGACTTTAAGGGCTGATTTGATTACACATTCATAATATTTCTGTTCTCCCAAAGGTATTCTTATAATAGTTCTGTTTATAACCATATAAGGACCTCGTCTACTGCGCTCTGCATGAATTGCGCTGTGTTTACAGTTTACACCCATGCTGTATTCCTATCTTTTAGTCCTCACCACATGTTTTAGTAATCAAAGTTCAAAAAGCTTCACAAACTCCAGAGGGATGTGAGAAATTTAGAGCTCCACTGTTAACTGACACCTAGAGCAGATGGTGCGTTCAGATGAATTGTGGGTAGTGAACAGTAGTAGAAAGCTTTGGTGATTTGGCAGCAAACATGGGTGACGTACTTGCGCGGGGGAAATTTCCACACTAAAAAGCCAAGACATTTGGGAAAATAGTAAAGAAAACAACCATACACACTGACTCTTTAAGAAGCTTTAGGTTATGGATAGTTTTCAGTCTTTCATTGTTAGTTTTAGTGTGTTTTTTGTTTTTTTCATAGTCTCACTTTATAAAGTTTTTATTGTAGTTTTAGAATTTTATGCTGGTTTAATTGAAATTTCTTAGCACAGTTTAGTGTTATTCTGTCTAGTGGTATTTTCATGTTTAATGTAGGCCATTTGAAATGGTTTCAAGTTTTATAATAATGTATCAAATTACCATGTATCAAAAAGTTTCTTTAATTTGTGGCCATTTTTAAATAATTTTCAATTTCACAGTTGTTGTTTTTTCCAGTTAACAAAACACAAGTTTTATTTTAAATTCATCATCTATTTTTTTATAGATGTTATAAATCTTATTGTGAACAATTCATCCATATATGTTTTTCATGCTTGTAACAGTTTTTTTTTTTTACACCATAATGTTTAGCCTAACTGATCTTCCGATCCTGATCTTCCTTCTCCAATCAATCAGCTTAAACTCTTAATCCACAATTGACTGCAAAACTCCTAAAATTCAATCAATAACCGATGGATAGACCCAAGTCTTGCCCTAAAAATGATTCTTTTCGATAATCTGATTCACTCCGATGCATGTCACAATATGGAAGAATAGATTTGCCACTAGTTCAGCATCATCGCGACTTTAACAATAGCAACACTGCAATAGAAAAACAGGCTTTTTGTCTGCAGATTGGGGCCTAACTGCTAATGCTAACCAGCTAACACTTGACTTCCTGCTCAAAACCATGTTCACGTCCTTTCTCTACACATTCTACACTGATGTGATCAAGTTTTTGAAACTTTCTGTCTGTCTGTTTTCTTGTAGCTCATCAGCTTCATCATCCTTGTCTGTTACGCCGCATCGATGTATGGAGGCTATACAGCTGTCGCCATCTGTGAGATGGTCTTTGCCATCATCTTCTTCATTGTCTACATGATGGAACTGGACAAACAGTTCCTGGTGGTCAACTGGCTCTGGAGCGTAAGTATGAATACACACACACTTGCATCACGGTCCACCCTAGCATTGTGGTGGCGAGTTTTTCACGATCAAGTGCCATTCATATTTTCTCTATTTGCCCCGCCAGGATCTGTTCCGCGCTGCAATCGGTGCAGCGCTTTATCTCATCACCTCTCTCATCTGTGTGATCGGTGGAGCTGGGGACGGGGCTCGCATCGCTGGTGGGGTGAGACATCCAACGCTCAGCATCAAAACATACCATACTTTCATCTTTATGAACAAATCTGATTTATTAGGGCTATATATCCATCACTCTGCTCTGCTGACAGCTGTTTATAACAAAGCTCACCTTCTCTCTCATAGGTGTTCGGTCTGCTGGCTGGGATCTTGTTTGCTTATGATTCCTACACACTCTTCTTGGAAATCAAGAGCAGCAGACAGCATACAGCTGCTCCCACAGGTGCATGAACACACTCATTCATTTATTTAACATGTTAGAAAGTACAAAAGGCCTCAAAAGGTATTTAGACACTCAAACCACATTTAAAGGGGTCATGACATTGATTTTAAAATGGTTTTAATATGTTCCTTGAGGTTCACATACTTTTGCACAAAAGATTACTTTCAGCCTCTGTCTGAAATGATCCGTTTTTAAGGGGCGGCTCCTTTAAGGCTTGTCAGCAAACGGCCACTGTTATCAATGCATAGGAAACAGTATCAACGCCCACTCGCTATTGCATGTGTAAGCACTTAATACTGTAATTTACAGACAAAGCATTAATCATTTACGTATGGTTTGTGATGCAGCTGCTGTCAGATCAGTTGCTGCTTCATCTGTCAACAAAAGTTTCTTTGCGAACTCTCCATTACTCTGAGCCTTGTTTACAAAACAAAATGCTCCGAACAAACATATAAACCTCCGACGCGATCTGGGACGCCATTAAAATACACCATTCACTTATTTCCATTCGCTGAGATCCTTTACAGAGACACAAGCCAGCTGTTTAAACTGGACGCGTCAAAACAAACGTTCTTTCACTCTTCCATTTGTCCTGTTGTCGGCAGACTCAAGCACGGAGAGCATGTTAGAAACTGAACACGCATCTGTATACTGTATCCAGTGTAGACAGCGTCAGTGATTATAATGGGTTTTTTACTTTTGACACGATTTGACGCTCACATCCAGTGTAGGGAAATGTCAGCCGCTAATAAGCGACTGAATGCCAGTGGGCGGGGCCTATGGTGCGATGATGTGTGACTGTTCTTCAATGTCTTGCTCTGGAGGCAGTCATATGTAAATTAGACATGTGCCGGTATTCGGTAATGCGATAAATCGCGGAAATGAATATGCACGATATTGTTATCGCGGGCACTTCAAAATACCGTGAAAAATAGTAGATTCGAATTTAGACTTTTAGAACGCGCATTAGCTTATTTTCCATCAACCGCTTAAACACTGCGTGTATGCTGCGCAAAACACGTGCGCACTCTGATGTAAACAATCCCCACATGTACAAGCACTGTGTGCATGCGGCGGCAGTGCGCACTCTAGTCTAATGTAAACAATCCTCACATGGAGTAGAAGCATGGCGGAAGGAGGAACGCTGCCGACGATTTACCCCCCGCAGGGCTGCCAACTCTCACGCATTCAGCTTGAGACTCAAGCGCCTTTCAGACAGAACGCGGAATACGCGCAGGGACGTTTTGTTGCTGCGTCGACCAAAGCACGCCGGAGTCAAAGTTCAAAGTAGTTAAACTTTTTATTTGCAAAATAGCAAATCGCGTTTCGCGTCCTGTCTGAAAGGCGCTTTACGCACCGACAGACTAGACAGAGCAGGTTACTTTTGATATGAACAAAAAAATAAATAAATCAGCTCTTAGGTTCTGTCCATTGTGACAGATCGCTGCGCCTCAGTTCAAGTAAACCGATCATCTATTACTTTTTATTTAAAGACACAGTACAACTTACCGTAAGGTATATGCCTCATACATAATGTCGATCAATCAGTGTTTTTCAAACACGGAAAGAGGTCAATAAAACTGCAGGAGAACAGAACTTATGTCACAGAACGTTACATTTACCTCAGGAAAGCCATTTAATGACCAGCACATTAGTTGACTAGAAAAAATAGCGAGGAGTATTTTGCTAAATATGTGCACTATATTACATATTTATTATATGTTTACTTGTCATTACATAATTGTTATTATAATGAAAACCGCATTATATTTAATTTCTCTCTGTGTGTTTACAGCATTATGTGAGATATATTTTTTTCTTGAGAAAAATTAACATGCAGACTGTGGCCTACCTAATATTTATCCAAATGAGTCAATATTGAATTAAGATTAAAATCAAATCCTTAACCAGGTTTTTTTTTCCTGGTTAAATAAAGGATAAAAAATAATAATAATAATAAAAAAATCCAAGAATTTAATTGAATAATACAAACAGTAGCCTACCAGTCATTGTACCATGTAAACATTGTAACATGTTGTCACTAAATCAAATTCTGTTTAGTTACCATATGTTTTGAAAATCACATTGTGATGCAAGTTTTTTTTTTTTTTTTTATACCCACAATCCATCTGTTTCTCTTGAGCAATAGCTCCCGTGCTGTAGCCGGAAAAGGTAAACAATGTCCAGGTGGGAGGAGCCATTTCTTCTTCACTTGTAAGCAACTCTGATCATAACATCATAACTCGTCGCACATGATCAACGCTCCTCCCACCTGGACATTGTTTACCTTTTCCGGCTACAGCACGGGACTGCAGCGCGAGACTACAGCTTGCCGTCTAAAAGACTATTTAGGTGAGTTGAAACAATGGCTAAGTTGCTAAACGCATCTTGTTCACATGTAGGGTCCCTGTTCATGTTGGACAGACATTTTAATTGCATTTTGTGTCTGTTAAGAGGCTTAAAAACGCTCTTTATGTCGATGCCCCCATAGCTGCCGTTTTAGCTGGGTGGGAGCTCTGGGCATTCGCGGTCGCAGCTCCGCGTAGCAAGCACCAATCCGGTTCGTTTTTTTTCCTATAGTCAGTACTCACAAAGGTCTAACGATCAAGATTAACTTAAAAATTGCCCGGAGTTCTCCTTTAAGTGTGACGTCACCGATCCCGCAATATCAAAACGAGCTGTTTTTATAATAAGTAGGACGTTTTAAGCTATGAAACCTGCAGGATTTTTTAATGGTACAAAGACCTCTTATATGTCAAAAGATCAAGGATAATTTGATTTCTCATGTCATGACCTCTTTAAAAGTCATTGCATTAGACAAAATATCAAACTTAGTGTCACCAAATGCTGCAGTATCATTCAGTGGAGGGACAGAAATCTCATTAAAGATATCATGATCTGTGTTTCGAAGATGAACAAAAGTTTAAAGGGTTTTGAATGACATGAGGGTGCTTTTCCTTTTTGGTTGAACTGTCCCTTTAAATCTGTTCCCCCAGCAGCCTTTATTCCAGTTGTTTGACGATGAAGGCCGAGGTTTAAGCCTCTCCCTAGATTTGAACTAAAGGTGACACATGTTGTAACTCTCTTTGAACAGGTCGCTGACGGCTTCTGTGGGATGTTTACAACTGACATTTGGCATTTGAGCCAAACAGTTATTCTGGTAGAGACGCCAGTGGCAACACTGGTTTCTAACCTAAAGCTATGCCGTTTTACATGCCCGCTCTTCGTTTCGTGTAACTATAACAACTTAACCTAACTAACTATTCCCCAGTTATTTATTTTGCGTCTCCCTTTTTGTTTTCTCTTTGTTTTCTTAACAGATGACACAGTTTGAAAGCTACTTTCCTCACTACAACATTAACAGCAAACCAAAACATGGAGAACGATTCTAAAAATGGCAAAAGGAGGGACATTCCTGAGAGTTATCGCAAAGTTACCATGACAGATGAAGACCAGAGGAATGCAAAAGGGTTGAAACCATTGCACAGAAAAGAAGTGTAAGCACAAAAGGGATTGAAAAGTGAACTGTAAGATTAATGAACAGCTGTTAAAGAAGCCACAATATATGAAAGCTGTTGGCATCCAAAGATTCATTACCGTCGTTTTGGTTAGGTGGCTTTTGTTACCACAAATACTTTGTCAGATTGGTTGGTTACTATTACAAAAGCATCATCACAACATTTAGTAGGAGATGGGGCTAATAAACATGTCAGATAAAACTGACAGCTGCAAAACTATTATCAAAAGAGTTGTCTTCCCATTCTTTACTAGAGAAAGACCCAGTGAAGTCATTTTATTATTATTACGTTGTGTTGGAAAACTGGATCCAATTCAGTCTGGTGCTGTTGTGTTTTTTTTTCTGAACCTTTTTATGGTGTAAAACTTCACCATATCTTGTAACTGTAACTAAATTCTAATTACTATTGATTGTCCTTGTGTTTTGTGTCTAAAATAAGTTAATTGTATACGTTTTTAGTGATTTCAAACAGGATTTGTGTCAGTCTAACCATATTCTACTCAGGTGCATGCAGTCTAGAAAAAGTTTTCAGTCAATTTAAAGGGATTTTCTCATTGAAAAAGAAGGAATCTCAACCCTAATATCTTCTAAGGTGGGACAAATTTGTACTATAACAAGATGAGATGTCATTGTGTTGGTATTAGGGGTGTAACAATATATCGTGTCACAATATATCAATGCAACAATATGTATTGTAGATAGTGACAATATGTATTGTGTATACAGTAATGACTCAAAATAAAAATTACTGTGCGTGAAAAAAATCAAGTTTTAGCATCAGTACTACAATAAACTACTATACATAATGTTGAATATAATGTATAATAATACAATGGGGGAATATTTGTGGGTCCAGATAATGCCAAATGTCCGATGTTGCCAGTAAAAAGTGGCCTACATTATTTTAAATATATCTAGTCAGTGAAAGAGTGCAAGCATATTCGTCTAAAAATAATTCTTTATTTTCAGCTTCAGAATCATGAATATTTTTATTCTGGTGTCACTATTGTCCTGTGCATTGGGGTTACCAGCACTAAGTCCAAGCCTATTCATTTACACACACAATGTAATATCAAATTTAGCATTTTAATCAACAGTTAATTTTTTGTTAACCTTTTACCATGTGTCTTGGAGTATCGCAATAATATCATATCGTGAGTTCAGCATCGTGACATGAGGGTATCGTTACACCCCTAGTTGGTACAATATGTTCATTTTTATTCATCTTTCTTACATTTTGCCATTTAACTGGTTACCTCAAAGGTTGCTCACTATCTCAATGCCATAAGTGTGCTCTTTTTTATTCTAATAATAAACGATTCATATATTAGACATGCCTTCATTTACAGCGTCTAAGTCCATTCAACCCTATTGAGTAATGTAGAGTAAGAAATACTAAAACAGCTCTAACAGTTTGTCATCATTTTCAGGAAATATCATGAATAAAAACTGTTTACTCAACTGTGTAATAAGAAATGATTGTTTTGACGTGCCTTGAAAGAGATCATTGAGGAGTATTTGGACTGCCAGCTACTTCAGTTATTCTAATATGCAGTTGGTCGTCTTCACGCTTAAATAAGCAGCACTTCTGGAACAGGAAACTATCATTCTCACCTCACCTGATTGTTGTAATGCCATATGCACAACAGTTGTAATTTTACTGTAAAACATGGGGAGCTTGTCTAAGTCAGAGATTCATAAATCGTACATTTTTGTAAAACCATAATCTAGAGAGTAAGCAAGTGTTTTTTCTTTACCATTTATAGCATGTATCAATTGTTGTAACAATTTATAAATTCGAATTTGTGAAGACTGTTCGCCTGTTTCCTCTCATGTCTATTTGTTTTTGCAGCCTCAGCTCTGACTGCCTGACAGCATTTATTTGTGAGATGGTCAGAAATGCCATCAGTTCTGTAAAAAAATGATTAACTCAGGATGTTCTGCTCTTTTAAAACAAACGTATTTTTAGACTTTTTTTTTTTTTTTTTTTTGCATGTTTGTTGTTCCCGGAAGTACAGCATGTGGAAATAATTCTGCAGGATTTAAGTCTCTGTCTAAATTGGTGTTGCTGGTATTTTTGGAGTTCTTTCGATAACATTCAATAAAAGGCTGTTATAACGTATTCAACTTTTAAAAATGTGTGTGTATCCTTTCATTTGAATGAAGTGAGTGAAGAATACTGTGCGCGCAGCGCCACCTGCTGGAGTGTTACGAATGATTTCGACTGCCAATAATAATACATTTGCTACACAAATTTACTTTATATATAAAAATGAGAGAGAATGATTTAAAAGAAAAGAAGAATTCACTATATTCAATGATTGACAGCTATTGGAGAAAATGTGACAAATATGTGTCACTAGATGGCAGCATTTACGTACATTCATTGAAATACTGAGGAGTTTACTGTAGGCTTTTCTGCAAGGTAAAGACTTGTGAAAATGCTATTCATGTATTTTGGGGGAGAAAAGTAATTAAATGGCCTACATTTACAACTTTTTAAAGAGATAGTTTAAAAAAATATAGGCTACAATACCATTCAAAAGTTAAGAATGATGATTTTATTTATTTATTTGTTTGTTTGTGAAGCAATACAGAAGGATTCCAGGATCATGTAACAGTAGACATGAGTAATTGCCGATACAAAGTATATATTTTTTAAATATACAAATTGATAGAATACAAATGTACAACATTATTTTAAAGAATAATAAAAAAGTATAGTCTTTTAACTATTTTTGATAAATGCTACATTTAACTGAAGCATCAATTAAAAAACAGTCTTAGTAGCCTAATTCCTCGATAGATAGATAGATGGATAGATAGATAGATAGATAGATAGATAGATAGATAGATAGATAGATAGATAGATAGATAGATAGATAGATAGATAGATAGATAGATAGATAGATAGAATTATAGACAGACAACAGCAGATTTAGAAGGCCTATGAATAAAACTGAATAACAAACCGTATCACAATACACTTTACTATAACCTACACACAATATACGTATTTGTAATACCTAAAACTAATCAAAAACCAATGTGCAGTAGGCTAAGGGGTTTCATTGAGAAACAGAATGCTTTTGTGATGGGAGTATGAGGTACAGTAAGGGGTGGTCCTGACTCCTGATACACTACAGTTAAACACTTGTCCTGTAGGTGTAGCCCGTCTGGTTACACGCTCTTACGGGCAACTTCTGGAGGAGTTGTTACCAGCACAGAGATCTACAGGCCAAAAACCAGACCCTCGAGACGAGCGAGAAGAAGTCACGTTAGGTTCAAGGAAACTTCAGCGGACACATGAGAGTGCTCGTGTGAATCGCCACAGCCGCCGACATGTTCACGCGCGGATCAAAGAAGCGACGCTCCAATCGCTCGGTAAGTCGCTCTCATGTCGTGGCATCCCGCTTTTAACATGATCTAAAGGGATTTGATCCTTTTCTACAGTCTGTCCTCATGTATTTGAATGAACGCAGCATGGTTTGGTGTTTTAAAGGTCATTTTAAACCTATCGTGCTGCTTTGATGGTCGAAAGTTACTTTTGTGTCACGCACTTCTTTTACCTGAGGAGACTGTTTTCATCGGGCACGGAGTAGCCTATAGGCTTCATATTAAAACTTGCACTCCTATATTTACGTTTAATTGTATCCGCTGCAAGTTTTGCATGTAGCCTATAGTTATCAGTCATTATTTTACCCTTAACCATTAATGTGACATTTTTTGTGATCATGTTAACTATTGCATTGTGGAGGCGTGGCTTGTTTGTGTTACGTCACCGTTACCTGTGCAGGTGACGACATCGTTTGAGGATACCGTTTCATAATAATAAATGTTTTAGTATGTCAATTTATTACACTGAATTTACCCAAATAATGTGTTTAGTTTATGTCTAAAATAACAAATAAGGTCCAATCCAAACTTATTCTTGAAATGTTATTTAAATAGTCTACAAGAATAGAACAAATTATAGCACGGATTCATTTTACAGTCTTGAATTTTTATGTGTCATATTCTACAGTTAAGAATATTACAAAAACGTTAGCCCTGAGATTCATACCTAGTAGATCTGCATCAGTTAGCAAGCATGCTAACGGAATGCTTCATGTTACTTTTGTAATGTGTTGTTTTCCTTTCTGAAGGTAGTGGTTAGCATTGAGGAAACATTCCTTAAATGTCTGGAAAGGGAAGACAAAAAGTAAACACAACCTAAAAACATCAGGACATGCTTAGGGCAATATTCATTGAAGATGCTAATTGGATTAGAATATTGAATAGATTAGAACAGGAAACTCTTTGTTTCCTGAAGCTGCTCTCTGTAATGTTTTGATTCAGATCTGTACCAGATGGTCTTAATGGTGAACTAAATCTTGTAGTTATGTATCTTAAAATGAAATTTTGTCCTTTTAAATTTGACCAGGATTCACGAGCAAGTTTCTTTGACATTCAGCCATTGTTTTCTTTTCTCAAACACCCCCTTGTAAGTGCCATGCTAGTTCTTATTCCGAATGTCCTACTCGGGACAGACCACTGATCTGAGCATGAGGAAACAATGATGGTGGGCCTCTAAAAAAAGTGGCTTTTAAAAGCTTTTGACCTCTTGTAACTGTTGTCATGGTCACAATCGAGAGGAAATTTCCCCTGAGGGTGTGGACAGGAAGACACCCAGAGAGCTTCCTGTCTCACCGCAAGAGACGGGACATAAAACCGTCAGGTCATCGTATGTTTCTCCGCATAGTCTGTACACGTCATAGTTTGTTTTGATTTATGCTTTTTCACGTTATCTTTTCTCTGCAAATGTCTACCCAGTAATCTGCACAATAACCTCTGAGAGATAACTCTGCTAAACTGACTAAGTCATTGTTTTGTCTTTATGAAAGTATTTTTTTTGTACGTTCGTTGCCCTCCTTGCATGCTTTACTGTTTTTTCATTTGTTACATTCTGTCCTTCCTTTACTTGCATTTTTATCCTTTACTTTGCATTTCACACAGAACGCATTTTTCCGCCGCTCTACTTTCCCATTGTTTTTTAATGTAAACATTCACTTTTGCAGCATCTTGCGCATTACACGGCATTCTAAAAAAGCAAATTTTAAAGTTAAAATAAGTTTATTTTTGGTAGCCCAAGTGTTACTAGCACTTTCAATACTTGCATTACTTTCATTACTTTTAGTTGCTTTTAGCACTTTTATGATTACCTTCCTTATATTACTTTTTTGTTACTTTCCTTATTTTACATACTTGCATTACTTGTGCTACTTTTAGCACTTTTATTACTTGCATTACTTATACTTTCATTCATTACTTTCCTTACTTAACACACTTGTGCTACTTTTATCACTTTTGCTTATTACATTACTTTGGTTACATTACTACTGTTACTTTACTTACTTTCTTTTCTAATTCTGCATGTCTTTTGTTACTTTTTGTACTTGCATTACTTTTGTAACTTACCTTACCTGTGTTACTTTTTGTACTTGAACTTCCAAATTTGTGTTTTGTCCTTTGTTTGTGTTTGTCTGAGTACTGGTTCTTGCAAGGGTAGGGAATTGCAAATCGATTTCTATTCTGGAATCGAATACTTGAGGTCAGGAATTGGATACTTGTTATACAATTTAAATTTCGATTCCTTTTGTGAGCATTTCAATGTGATTTTAAACCATTCAAGCACAAGACTACTCTTTTTAATTACTGAGTGTTTACTTGTGTTTCATAATGCTAGTTGTTTTTCTATGGTATTTTTAAACCACAGGCAAACGTTCCTTCCTTGTTCTTTAGCCTGTTGATTTTTGTTCATGATATTCAGTTACAATTAAATGTTTTGGAATAAGACTAAATGTGAACGAAATCTAAGGTTTTAGTTTCTTTACCTTATTGGAATCGGAATCGTTAAAATTCAAACGATACCCAACCCTAGTTCTTGCTTTAGGCATAATAGGACAAATTACCTTCTTTAATAACCATAGTTTTGTTTTTTCCCTTGTGTTACTTTTAGTAGGCCTACGTTTGTTACTTTCCTTATTTGCATTACTTTGGGAATTTTGGTTATTTTCAGTTCTTGAGTTACTTTAGGCCTTTTCACACATTAAATGGTTAACCCTGGCTCATTCTAAACAGCAGGTAAACTGAATTATCTTGCTTTGTTTCACACTGCTCATAAAATACCCGGGGTTAACAATTAATCCTGGGTATTCATAAGCTGACTTTTCACATTGTACATTCCTAAACCCCAGGTTAACGTTCTTATTTGCATATTTGCCGGGTCAGATTGGATGAACGCAGCAGGCGACCTGTTTACATTACTCTAGCATTGCGGATCCTCTTATTGCCGACTATACTATTGAGTTTATACTGATTGGATGCTTACTTTGGACTATAAAGGTAAGAATTAATAAAAACAGTCTCTTTTTTATCAAATTGACGCGTTTTCTGTCAGTATTTGATATTTTTCCTCTCAAATGCTGAATTTACTGTTTATATAAAATGCACAATGTTTCCGTGACTGTAGGCTTTTGGTTAGTCGAGGTTTTTTTTATGGTTGTTTGTAGTGTTTGTTGTTTTTATTTTGGGGAATGTATTTAAATTCTTTAAGTTCTTGTATTACATTTTACTGTGAAGCACGTTGTGATGTCTATCTGTGAAAAGTGCTATATAAATTAGGGGTGTCAAATGATTAATCGTGATTAATCACATCCAAAATAAAAGTTTTTTTTACATAATATATGTGGGTGCACTGTGTATAATTATTTTATAAATACACACACATGCTTGTATATATTTAAGAAATATTTTCATGTATATACGGTATATAGATTTATATATAATTTATATTATATATAAATATAAATATTTTATATATAAATAATATTTTTTTTCTTAAATATACATGCATGTGTGTGTATTTATATATATATACAAAATAATTATACACAGTGCACCCACATATATTATGTAAAAAAACTTTTATTTTGGATGTGATTAATCATTTGACAGCCCTAATATAAATACATTTTACTTACTTACAAAGCACGCAAATATGTTGGCGATTGGTTATCTCTTAGTAAGCATCTAGCTTTAACGTTATAACACCGCATAATTTCACACTGTAGCCTACAAGTTTGGCACAGCATTGCAGGGTTAAAGCCTAATTTATACTTCTGCATCAAACTCACGCCGTTGCTACGTCGTAGGCTGTGTGTAGCACGTGTAGCCTACGACGTACCCCTCTCCAAAAATGTAACAAAACGTTTTTCTACGCGGACCGCAAGCGCTGTGATTGGTCTGCTAACCCCTCCCTCGGGTTTCACATGCCCCCTCATGCCCCCTAATTGGCTTTATGCCACAGCTTCACTACTTCCTGAACTTCAGCCAGCCCTTTGTTTCCTGTCTGTCATTATTGGACAAACTGATTAATTCAGGTGTGCCTGGCCTCAGTAACAATAATCAGGCACACCTGGATTAATCAGTTTGTCCAATAATGACAGACAGGAAACAAAGGGCTGGCTGAAGTTCAGGAAGTAGTGAAGCTGTGCATAAAGCCTATTGCACAATGCACATCAACGCAGGCAACTACACTATAGCCTACCGTTAAACTTCAAATAATAGCCGAGTCCCAAATAGACGCCTGTCTCTTTTACACGCCTGGTGTGGCTGCAGGTTTGGGTAAATAAAGGCCGGGTCTGTTTTTTAGTTTCGGGTTCTATTTAATCTTCTAAAACCGTCAGATCTTCCGCTTTTTGGCGGCCCCCAACGCAAATGTTTGTCCTGCAAAAGCCTTTTTTTAATGCTGCGCTTGACAGGGCGCGAGCAGATAGAGCGCTCCGGCCGCGCGCGCGCACTCTCAAGCCTTGTTTATACTCGACGCGTCCGCAAGAGCGCGAAGGTGCGCGCGGCAAAAATGACGTAATTGCGGTGTGGGCGGTCGTGCGCGTTGGGTGCGCAAGACCCCATTTCGCCTGGCGGTGTGCACGGCACTTTTTGTAACATCGCGCGCGGCGCCGCATCCGAAGATGAACGACTTCGAGCCGAATCTGGCCGAACTGGTGCGTCTGTATCAGCATGTTTATGATCCTTCTATACACAGAGACATTTGCATTGATGGGCGACCATAAAAGCCTCTCATTTTTTGAATAGGAACACATTTACATTAAGCACCCAGTTTGCACTCTAAAGTAACTGCTTATATTTACAAAATAAGCCTACAATAGCAGAAGTAAGCCCTGCTGATGAAATTAAGTTTTAAACACTCTTCAATAAGGCTTCAGTTGTTTACTAGTTTACATGCAGTGAACGTACAATAAACCTACTGCATTTATTACTCTTTTTATATGAATCAGAAATTAATAAACTACTAATAAATGGCAAACTACTTCTTCACTGCTGATTCCTGGTGGTTTAGAGGAGAATTACTCCGAGTCGTCCCCTGTCGTTTCACAGAATAGCACAACGGCGAGCGCGTCAAGTATAAACGCCTCGTCCATATGGAGAGGTCCGCGCGCAGTCAGCGGAGACTCGCGCTCGTGCGGACGCGTCGAGTATAAACAAGGCTTCACGTCTTCAAACAACACGAACGCTATCGCGCTCTCCCTCGCGCTGTCGCATATTAATCAACATCAGTTGACGCGATAGTAAAAGGTCGGAAGTTTCACGTGGAGTACTTGGGGGATTTTTAGAGATTAGAGACTATAGGCCTACACTCAATGAACAACATCTCAACACTAAATTATAAAGGCCTGTCTCATATAGACGCCTGTCTCAAATACAAGCTGGTGCAGTTCGACGATTTGGGAAAATAAAAGCCCGGGCTACTATTTGAAGTTTTACGGTAGCAGTAAATGAAAACCTTCGCGTAGCCTACAGTGTAGAGGATACAGCGTTGGTCTGACGCAGAAGTATAAATCAGCCTTAAAGGTGCTCTAAGCGATGTCACGCGTTTTTTAGGGCAAAATTTTTTTTGTCACATACAGCAAACATCTCCTCACTAACCGCTGGCTGCCTGTCCCCTGAACACACTGTAAAGAAACGCGATCTCTGTAGACAGCCCAGGCTCCACAAACAGCAACAAAAGCAAACTGCAGCGACCCGCTCCCTGAAACATAATAAACTATTCCAGCCAATGACCGACAAGAAGGGTTTGGGGGTGTGGTTTGGGGGGTTAGTGTGCGGATGAGGAGGAGGGAGGGTCTAGCTAGCCTCCGTTTTGTTTGACAATAGTTCGAACGTCAACAAGAAGTGACGTCACCCAGGATCGCTTAGAGAACCTTTAACACTGCTCCGGAAGAGGGGGTTTCAATGGTTTCCTGTGTGAAAAGCAGTAACCCCTCTTCTAAATTACAAGTGTGAAACGTTCCTTTACCCAGGGTTAAAAGCGGTGTTTAGAACGACGATAAACAAGGCTTAAGCGCAGTGTGAAAAGCCCTTTTGGGTATTTCCCAAAAGTCTGTGTAACACCGACTGACTTTTGCTTTAGATTAAGTATATTGGTCTGGGATAAATGTCCCTGATATATCTATTTAATAATATCAGTTTTATAAATACAAAAATTAATGTAATTCAAACCCACATTTATGCATTGATTGTTGTCTTATATACTGTAACTGCAATACAATGCAGCCTTTAATTCTTTCAGTTCATAACAGTACATTAAAATCAAATTCTTGAACACTACCAGCTTTGGACCTGAATGGCAGGTTTTTCTTTTTATAACCCTACTAGTTTGATGCCAGATCTTATTTTGTGAACGTGGCAATTTTGTTTTTCTCAGAACTCTTGGACTATCTACAGTTTTGTCTGTACAAGGCGACACATAATAAACGCTTGTGAGATTTTTTTTTTTTCTCATACCTCCCCCTTCCTTCTCTCCTTCCTTCTCTCCTATTCCTTCTTTTAAACAGGCTAATGCAATTAACTATTCAGAGAAGAAAAAACACTCAAAGATCCTGTCCCCTCTCTTTCTCAGCAGTGAATAGCAATGCTCCGGTCTCGGTTCAGTGAAGTGTTAGAGTTCACTGATCTTACAGGCAGTGTTTGTTTTAGCACGCGTGTTTCCATAGATCTCTCGTTCCTGGCGACAAGAGGCCGCCGTCCGGCTGCAGTCCGGCTCTCCCTCACGCTCGCTCATCCTGACGGCGCTTTCATAGTACACAAAGCTTATTAGTGTTCCTCCTCTGCATTAATCTTCACTAAGATCTTCAAATTATGTTTAACAAAAGTGTATTCTTGCATTTCATTGTCACGACATATGCACTAACTTGTTTTGTCAAATTAAGTGCGTAACAGGTTTTCATTTCATGCTTATACTTTGTTCTCAACAAATTGTACCATGGTACAGTGAAGGTATACTACATACTATATTATACACAACTTGATACCTATTTCTGTCGTTGTGTAGCCTATCTGAAGAACAAAAAGCATCTAGCATGTTAAGACTCTGGGTTCGCCCTCAGTGTGTGTGAGAGAGCAAACCAGGTGTTTAAGTTTTATGGCTGTTGTCTTGCCGTATATAGGCACGTCAAAGATTTCAAACACCCTAATCGCGTCACTTGGAGGTTTTGAAGAACAAGTTCTCAGTTTTATTGCTTTATTTGTTCCCACAAACAAGCAGAAGACCTTGAGGCTAAACACAGCCTGAAGTGGAGTTGTACAGTAGATAAATCTACTTCTGCTGCATTTCACCGTCGGTACTGTGTGTTTTGTTGGAGAAATGAGTGTTGGATTTTAGGCCTGGATTAAAAACACACTGGGTCTATAGCAAACACAAGGGCCCCCTTCACAGTAGCCTATCTTGGTGCCACAACGCTTTCTACCACAGGAAAAAATAGTATTTAAAAACAAATCAAATCTCCAACATAAGAAGAGTGTCCACACCAATTATTCTACTGTAGATTTAGTCGACTAAAATCTTATATTTAGTCTACTAAAACTTAAAACAATTCTAATCTGATGACTAAAATATGCAGTTTACATGGCCGGAGCTATTCAATCTGGTTTCAGCTACGTTTACGGGACAGTTCACATGAATTCAAATGGGTCAAGTGACTGGCGCTGGTTATCACTTCAATAGAGAGGCAAAAGCACCAGTCCAGCTGTTCTCACTGCAACTGCTGGATGTGTGTGCGGTTTGATCAGATACCGCAGATTCATCACTTGGCTTTTGGTGTTTGTTTCTCATGCGCTCCAGTAAATACTAGAACTTAATATCCAGTTCTGGTGCTCCTGATGGCGAGTTAGGCTTCAACCCCGCCTAGCCCTCATGCTAATCCGGCCCTGTTGGACTCGCAGACCTAGAAAAACAAATAATCTTATTTGGGATATTATATGCGTCACCAGCACATGATATTTAAAAAAAAAAAATACTAGCAACTTGTCTGCAACACCAATAAAAATAACCAAGTACTAAAAATACTACTATAATACTAAAAAGTCGTTGTTAGATAAAAAAAAAAAAAGTATGAACCATGCAACACTTTTCAAATAAAATGACCATAATCACCAAGAAAGTTTAATTGTAGTTGCAATGTATTTTTTTAAAGGGATAGTTCACCCAAAAATGAAAATGTATTTTGAATTTCTTTATTTTAAGATATTTTTTTGTACATGGGGGTGTTATGATTGTTATGATACAATGGATGTCAATGGTCACCAAAAAAAATATTCTTCCCAACATCATCTCTTGTGTTTCACAGAATGTTTGAAACAACATAAATGAGTAAATGATGACAGAGTTTTGATTTTTTTGAGTGAACTCTCCCTTTGACGACATCCGAGTGAATTATTTACCTGGTTGTTTTTAGTATGTTTTAGGTCATAAAATACACGTCAAAGTCAGCTGGATGTATATAGTATGCCAGAGATTGTATTTATACAACACACATGCATGCACTCCCCACATTTTTTATTTTAACTTTATTTTAGCTTAATCTGATTCCGTAACATTCTCTGAAAGTACACATTTCCACAAGTTTTTGTTATGACATCATCAGCAGAGAGATTCACAAAATGCAACCTGCACTCATGGTGGGACATCATTGTTCGTTTCAGTGCCGGTCCTAGACTTCTTGGGATTGCGCTCTCATGCTAATTTGCCCTGTTTAAAAAATCTGGCCCTATAAATTATGAAGTAAATAATATTGAAAATGTGTGTAATTCTCTGTGTGCAGACCGAGGATGAGGATCCGGACAGGGGGCAGCCGTGTATGCGCTGTGGAGAACAGTGTCCTGGCTTCCGCATGCACGGATGGAGGTAAGACAGGAGCGCTAAAACTGCTCCATACTAGATGAGGAAAAATGTCCTTGTCCTTTCTTTTTATTCACATGAAAATTATGAGAGCCAGATTCAAATGAACACATTTGTTATGAGCACAAAAGCTCAATCATGTGTACTAACCGCTAGGCCACGGATCCCACCCTCGACTCACTTTTGAAGGACATTCGTCCCAGGCCTGACAATCTGCAGACGGAAACATAACATCCTCAGACATAACATCTCGGATTGTTGTTTTAGTTATGCGTTTGTTTTGAAATTAAGTTCCTAGAGGAAAAGGAAAGCATGGAAGACAGTGCTGATTAACTGCAGTCTGTCAGGGAAAGATTCGTGCGCGCGTTGTGTGTGAGACCTGGGATTCTTGTGTGTAACGCAAGACGTCTAATCATATTTCCAGAGCAGGTAATGAGAGCCGCACAGTGTTTACACTAACCACTCTTCACTGTACGCCATTAGACAAGCCAACATTATCCACACTTAAAAATATTCAGATAAGTCCCATAATGTGGAGTCCCATTGACCAGTAAATACAATATTTCTGAAGTCATGGCCACAGGCACACTATATATATTCAGTATGTATATATTTCAGAGCTGTAGATTATGTTTCCATCAGATTAATTTTAGATGTCAGAAATAAGAATCCAAAGGGCGGTTTGTGACGTTAATACATGCCAGCTGTTGATCTTTTTTTCTGTGTTTTCTTAACAAAAAAACAATCACAAATAGACCATGTGACTGCTGTTTAGCTGTGTTTGATGTCTCTTTTTTCAGAAAGCAGATGAATTGACTGATTGATAGTTTGATTATGGCAATTACTTCTTGTTGTGCACCAATTTACCACTGTAAAAATCCCTAAAGAATTGCCCAAATAGCACTTTATCTTGTCATGGAGTCTAGAAAAGCTGTTTTATTCTCCTCTTATTGGTCACATGACCAACCGAATACCAGATGCTTTGTCTCAGTAACCCCCCCGGTTATAAGACAGTTTTGAATGCGGCATACAGCAAACTTCACACGTGAATATGGCATCAGAAAATGGCATCTGTTTTTGGAAGCTTTTGCTTTTGTGTGATGCTACATCCACACATCAGTATGCAGTCCAAGACTGTATCGGCCAGCACAACATAAAATATAACAAAACAGTACTTACACACCTTTAATATGTATCTGACTGAAAGCACAGTAGTCAACATTTGAAGTGGATCAAAAAAGTTTATCAAAGTTGTCCTAAGACAAAATTCATGTAGCCTATAACTTTGATGAAAGGTTTTGATCCACTTCAAATGTTGACTACTACAAACATTTGTCCTCACAGTCAGGTCAGATTTGGACCATGTTTTAAAACACACACACACACACACACACACACACACACACACACACACACACACACACACACACACACACACACACACACACACACACACACACACACACTCGTATACCTCAGAAACACTTACCTTCAACTGCCAGCGGGTGTGTGAAGAAGCCAGACAATGACCTGGAACGAATGCAAAAGGACATGAGGCATTCCAGTGTGTGTGTGTGTGTGTGTGTGTCACATAGCTGTATGTTGGGGGGAAATTGTCTTTAGAAGTTGGATAAAATCTTCAAAGTTAAATGATTAATGAATTAAGTAAATAATAACTCAAACTATTTAAAATTGGTTTTGGCAATTGAAATAAATCTGATGTATTAAAATAAACTTAAAAATGTTGCCTTGACAACTTACTGAAATGAATATCTTTAAGTTGAAGTAAATACTAAAACTAAAACTGAAATAAAAATTAAAGTATAAATATATTAAAATATATTTTAAAAATATATTAAAATAAAAGATAATTAAACTCATGAAAGCTTGATATAGCATGCAAAAATATTGACAGATCTAGTAACAGTCTTGGAGATTGTATCTTTCAGATGCACAAAATAGATTTTTGCAGGATTGCCTAATGAATAAATAATTTCTGATATAATTTGGTTGTGCATCAATGAACTACTAAAGTAATTTGGGGCTTGAAAATCAGATTTATTTTTTTGACCAAACTGCGAGGCATTGCCTTTAATATGGTAATGATCATTCTTTTTACTAAAGTCATACTGCAGTTTCATGTAACACACACACACACACACACACACACACACACTTAAAGATAATGAAGGGAGAACGAAAAAACTGTATCTCTCCTTGGTTTCAAACGGATTACATAAACTGGAAATATTTTTAAAAAAAATAAATTACTTCATTTAAAAGAAGAGAATTTCAGCTTCATAAAGAGAAATCTCTCGTATCTCTGTGACAAGTATTGACTGAGTTACAGTTCATTTTTCGGACGCGTTTCAGAATGGACCTCACTGACAGAGAGAAGGCAAAACGCGCATCATGTTTATTTTTGTTTATTTGACGAAAAGCACAACACTTTGTTTTTATTGTGAGTATCCACAAAAAAATAGACACTTAACAGGATCTAATGATGTACAACACTTATATGTAAGATCAAAATAAACTGAGTAATTTGATTCTCTTTTGCACTGATAAGGAAAAAACGGCCGACCCCAGAGGGTTAAAGGGGTCATATAATGGTACATGCACTTTTTCAAGTTGATTGTACTGAAATGTGTGTTGGCAGTGCCTGTACACAACCATCATAAAATGATAAAAATCTATCCAGTGTTTTTGTTTTAATCTCCTTATGTTTTCCCCTGCCTCAAATCAAGCCGTTCGACCATGTGACGTCACACGGTCGGAAGCCCCTCCCACGATTGTTGATTGACAGCAGCGTTTCAACACAGACCTGCCCTGAGCGAGCTGTCATCATAGTCCGTCATTATTGATACACTGGAGCAGAATGGCGTCTAAGCGATTGTGGTGTTCTGTTCTTGGGTGTAATAACGAACACAGCAGTCATTTTAATGTTCCTAAATCCGAACCGCTGAAGACACAGTGGCTGAGTTTGTTTTCGAAGGGAATATTCCCCACGAGCAACGTCAATGCTTTCATGTTTGTGCGATTCGCGAATCTTTTCTCAGCAGACTGCTTTATAAACGAGGGTCAGTATAAAGCTGGTTTTGCTAAGAAGCTGCTCCTGAAAAAAGAATCGGTAACTATTCGTGTTCCTGCTGCACCTCCAGAAGAAGTGAGTGTAAAATTGTATTAACCTTTATATTAATCTTTGCAAATCGCTTGAGAGCTCAGACACTCCCGCTGCCATTCTTTCTCCAAAATATACCCTCAACTGTTGTCAAGGCAACACTCCACGTGCGATGTGTCAAAATGCCCCACAGAACAGAGGGGCGGAGTGAGCGAAGCTCATTATCATTTAAAGGCATATGCACTGAAACGGCGTGCTGAAAACAGAGCTGTTTTTTACCAGGTAAAATTAGTGTTTTCTTACAATACTAACGAGAATTTTTAATTAAAGTATTTTACAAACAATTCATTTAGACCCTAAAGAATCAAATTAACTTGTATGAAAATGACATTATATGACCCCTTTAAAAAGAACAACATTCATTTGAAATAGATTTTTTTTGTTACAATGTAAAAGTCTTTACTGCTTTATCTATATTTTTTCTTTATTTTTACTTCAAATAATTACTGACCCATATATATATATATATATATATATATATATATATATATATATATATATATACACACACATTTTTTTGCTGTATTTATAATTGTAGTATTTTTTCATATAGGCATATATATATATATATATATATATATATATATAAAATCAAATAAATACATCAAATAAAATGGTATTTATAGAGAGCAGCGTACCACATGCAAAAGCCTCTTTTTAAGGGATGTATCAGGGTCCTTCTGCTGTAAATGAATGTGTGCGCGTGACTTCTGTTCTCACTTTAAATTAGTGGGACAGCACTAGCTTTTGGCATTGTTGGTCTATTTAACTCCCCAGTGTGTGTGTGTCTGTCTGCTCTGTGTAAATGAACAGAGCAGAAAGTCCCCATAAATCTTCTTACTGCACTCTTCACTCTCATGCCTGCGCTTCTGTCCAGAGTCATACATCAACATCATCCAAATCTAATCTGTTGCCCATTCTTCAAGTGAATCACTATTCATATGCTACAATCTAATCCAGAGCACAGAAACAATCACATCTAGATCTGCACTACATCATTTTAATCTGACAATGTGTTGCTTTAATCCAGTGTTTCCCAACCTTTTTTTTTTTTTGCCACAGCACAGTTTTGATATGTAAAAAATCCCACTGCACACCACTAACCACTAAAGTACGAAAATTGCACAAACATGCATTGCTACAAATGTCATATTAAAAGTATATATTACTCACATTTAATGTGAAACTTGAGCTTAAATCAAATATGAACACAATAAGGTCATACGGGTAGTTGATAAAACAAAAAATTTACAAATCGTCGCTGTCGGGTGGAGACCTCATGTTTTTTAAATAATTAAACAGTGTCATCAAAGTTGGTATTGTGGCTTTATAATTGGTCAGACATGCATGTGTCATTATAATAATAACATCTGATGAGAATCAAGCTTAAATGGAGTTATGAGGTTTTTGACCAGTGAATTACAGAAGTATATGTATATATAAAGTTTATTGCTATGTGTGCGGTTTTAAATCTCATGATATAAAAGATGAAGCGCTAGCCTATAAGCAAAGCGCTATATGCACAGGATATTTAAAACAGTATATTGGCTACAACTAGACTCTTCTCCTCTCTTCAAAATACAAAAAAAAACATTAGCTTTTATAGGCAGGGCCCTATTTTAACAATCTAAGCGCATGGTCTAAAACGCACAGCACAAGTGCACTCAGTGTCTGAATCCACTTTTGCTAATTTAACGACGGGACAAATGGTCAGCGCACCCGGCGCATGGTTTAAAGGGTTGTCCCTATTCTCTTAAAGCAGCACTAAGTAGGAAATCCGTTTTTGTCAAACAGCGACCCCTAGAGTTGCTGTGGAGTACTTGTA